ATTAAAGTTTTTCTTCATTACCCATTTAAGCCGTCTCCAGCCATTATTGACATGAGAAAAGAAGCCTGTATTGTGAAATTAGATCAAGAGCTAGGCAAAGCATAGTCAGCTAGTAGTTATTATTGATAATCACGAGTTAAAGAGTTATAAAAAATAGAACTAACACCTAGCATCTCCATAAAGATGCTGAGAAAAACGTTAGTCATGAATTTGACAGTGATAAGTTACTGATGGCAATCTATTAGTACAGAAAAGGCTACTAAAAATTTTATGATAGCATCTAAAATCGGAACTTTGATGTAAGATCCATTACTACAGACTGGAGTAGTAGTATAAGTATAAGGCAACCGAGTCACTCACCATCACAGTAGCCAAATACTTGAGAGTTTTGGTTTTTGTTTTGGGAGAGCACGATGAGTTGCAGAAATCAACCAATGAAGTGTCAGAACTACTTACGAGTAGTTATGTATACTAGTTGGAAACTCGTAAGAACACATAGAAAATATCATATAAAAACATGTCTCAAGCTGAAAAATCATTTCAGTGCAACTGTTCAGCAGTTCTCTTCAAGACAAATTAAGTGTTCTCCAAGAGCTAACAGTGATTGTTCAGAGAGCCAAGAAAAGTCCTCCATGCTTTAAAAATGATGAAGGTATCCAACTTACAACAGAACACCTCCTCAAGTTTGATGCAAGTAAGATTACTATTTCTCTTATTCAATCAATGTACTTTAGGTTAAAGTAGTAAAGTGAATTATATAAAAGAAGCTAATATCTGTAATAGTTAGTTGAGTATCTTATATATGGAAAATAGTGTCTGTAAAGGTTAACTTGAAAGTTTGATTATTGAGGAACTAACTGAATGTTAATAAAAGAGTAGTGTATGATATATGTAAGAACTTAAATAAAATTGATGTATTTTGTGAAACCTAAGTCTCAGAATCGTTTTCTTTAGCCTAACCGTAAATCTCCTCAAGTTAATGACTTCTGAGCTCCAATCGCCACTGCATTCTTCAATATAATAAATTGGGTGTAATTGGCAGTAAAGTAGAAGCTCCAATGACTAGCCTAAAGGCACTGCCCGTTACACACTGTTGACCTGTTTGCTAACTTAAGCTGATCATCAATCATGCATGTTTAATCATGGTGATAGCACTTCCTTTATGTGGTGAATCTGATGTGTTCTTTCTATTCTGTTTCTCCTGGTAGCACCATCCATAGTGGTAGTCACTTTTTCTTGTTTCTTGCCAGTACCATCTTTGTAGGTAGCTCCAGTTGCCTCATGTTGAGATTTCTGCACTTGCTTGTTGGTAACAGACTTGCACTCACTAGTGCTCCAGTTTATAAAAAGCATAGCATCTCTTTTCCCTTCTGTGTCTTGACTTCTTGTCACCTTTGGTGGCATCCTGCTCGTGGGCAGCCACCCCTGGTTTCAACTTAAACTGGTTATTCTTGAACTTGCCAGTTATACTCCCTCCATGGGCTTCTTTATACTGTTCTGCCAGCTTGACCATCTTGTCCATATCTTTCGGTGCTCTCTCTTTAGGAACAGTGACATGTCAGTACAGCACATTATCATGAACTGTTCACATACTAGTAGATATGCCAGTCCTTCAAAACTATTTTCACACTTAGCCATGTCAGTCCACCTTGTGAAGTATTCCAGTAAATGTGCCACAAACTGAAATACAGTTTCTCTAGTGACAGGTTTGCTTCCCTGAACTTCTGGCAAAAGACGTCTTTGGTAAGTTCATAGCATTTCAGTAAGGCTACTTTTAACTTCTTATAGTCCAAGGCATCTTTTGATGTCATGCTTGCATATATTGGCAGGCCTTTTCCTGTGAGAAGTGGGCTGAGACAGACTGCCTAGTCACCTTTGTCCTAGTTTTGACTTTGGTGGAATCTTTTGTATCTCTCCAAGAAAGCATCCACGTCATCTTTCTATTCATCAAATTTTGGCAGCTTAGGTTGGCTGGCCTTCATATTTCTGTTGGATGAGCTTGGTGATCTCAGTTTGTGCTTTATTTTCTCTATTTCCAGTCTCTCCTTTTTTCTTTCTCAGTTTGTGCTCTTATTCTCTCTTTCTTCTTTCTGCTTTTCTTTCTCTCTTTTCTGTTGATGCTCTCTCTCATTCCCATCTTCTTTTACCGCCATTTTCCACAATACAATCCTGGCTGACTTGCTAAATGTTGACTGCTCCAAGTGATTTTCAAGGTAAGATAAAATATACTTTTCTTCACCTGAAAAATCTCAAATTTCATTTTTGTAATCTCTAAAACTTCCTAAATAAATTTCAAATGTTTTTTCAGTAAAACTTTATATTTTATCTGATATTTTCTCTACCCTAACTCTATATAAGGTTGGTCAATTTGGGGTTTACAGCTATGCAACAAAAGCCACTAAAAATTCAGCTAAGTTCATTGATGTGTTTCCCATGGGAATAGTTTGAATTGAGAGTGAAATAGAAAATTCTCTATAAGCAAACAATGTAATATAATACGTTATTTGATAGATTAAAACTTTGGCTTTCTATTGGTTATAAATAATATAGTATTAAATGTCAGAGAGAATTATCGGCAATTTCTGAAAAAGAGGATGTAACAGGTGGGCAAGGTAAGAGGGGTCATATTTTCTAAGTTATGTCTCTGTTACCGCACATGATTGAAGGCTACAAACGTTATGCTTTGCTTGACTGGTGACAAAATTATAATTAATAATTTACATTAAATTTCATACTTCTCAGATGAGTGGTGAGTAAATCATAGAAGAGGCAATACCTAGTGAGCAAATGTCACAATTTGCATACTATAAGAAATATAGGATTTTCTTTTGATATTGCCTTATAAAATTAAGAACTTAAAACTTGTATATTAAAATTTGGAATATTAGCTATGTTTTTATACCAAGTTTATTCGTATCCTGTGATAAGAAATAGCTTAATTAAATTTTGAATGTAACTCATGACACACATAGAAAAGGATGCCTGTAGTGAAGAGGGTTAAAGGAAGTACTATCTCCGTATAGAAGAAGAACTTTATTATTGGATGGCTAGTTTTTCATGTTTACGAGTTCACTCATTGTAGTTGATGTACCTGATGATATCAAGTAAACCTGGTGAAACTTGATAACCCAAGAAATTGTACTCTGTTTATTTGATAATAAACAAGTTTATAATCCACTAGGTGATAACACACTTAATAATTAACATACAATTTAATAATCTTTTTATTAATTTTTTCTTTTATTTTTATTCAGTACCATTTTGTTTTCAACTGAACTTGTACTAAAAGTTGAAGTTCCTTACTTAAGCTTCTTCCAAGAATTTTAATTAAAAAAATTAACTTTTTTGTTTGTCATTTAACAAGTATTTGCAAGAATAATACAATATATGCTTGTAGATGGGTATTGTGCACAAACATGGTCAAAAAGCGAGTACCCAACTCATGAAATAGTACATCCTAATCTTTGTGCATAGAAACATATATTCAATTATCTACACTGATTGTAAAGTTGATTTTTAGTTTCATTCTTAGAACACAGTTTGCTCTAATCTGAAGTTCATATTAATTTTTATTTAGCATCATTAACTTACCCTCATTTGTTTCATTTTAAAACAGGAAAAAGTGGGTTGTTTTGTCAGAAGAATCAAATTTTTTTAACATAGAAAATATTGAACAAAGTAGTTATCAATGTTTTCTCCTGAATCAGTAATCAACTTGTTGTTACCTCAACAGTGTTTATAGCTGGGACCACTAGCATAAGTATGCCCCTGAAATTGCAGGTGGGCCAGAATTGTAATTACAATTATAGGGAAATAAATGTAGGGGAGCCCAGTTACTTTTTTGTGGAGGGAGTTACAGCTGAGACAATCATAAACTAATCAGTTAGTTGTGAATTAGTCCAAGTTTATTTAATTGGTCAACATAACAAGCTCAAATTTTAAATTTTGATACTGAAAACATTGTCACAATATACATCTATTACCTTATGATGTGAGTATGCTATTTTAAAAATATAATAAATATAATCTAACTTTTCGCTATATAAAACATTCAGGAATGTTTGAAATAATTTTCCACAGCTAGCCACTTGATACACAAAATAAGAATACTGTAATTTATTTCAACCTGTAGAGTGCTAATGGCTAAGTTTGAACTGACTTAACAGAAAGTAGTTTGTTAAATTTTTCCCTAATCATTTACTTTTCACCCATTCATAAGATGGATGAATAAAACAGTTTTTAGGAGTGATTTTCTGCATACCCTTTCTATATGAACAGACTTCAATACCCCTACCTAATTACTCAGTAGCAGTCTCCACACAACTGAATTAATTCAGCATAAGTCTATAGAAAACAATAGAGGCTACTATAAACACTCTAAGTTGTATATGAAAAATTTTCTATGACTTTTCCAAAGTTTTTTTGTGAACACCTAGTAAAATGGGTTGGTGGTTCAATTTTATTCAGGTTTACAAATAACATTTTATTTATGAATATTTAATAAATTAAAATCCAAGAATAATGTATCATTTGATTAGCACTTAAGAACTGCACTGCAGTGTTTGGTATATTAAGCTGCAACTTTCAACACATCAACTTGTGGTAATTAAATGTCTTTACACGACAAAATATTAATTTTTCTTCAAAAGCTTTACTTGTACTTTATATATTTTAAACAACTGAGGGTAAGTTCAGATTAGAACAACTTTTAATACACAAGGAAAAAAAGCTAAGCCTATTTTGATTACAACCTTTTGATATTAATAATGGCTGGAGACGACTTAAATGGGTAATGATGAAAAACTTTAATATAAGTTTAACATGACAGCAAATGTACAACGTTTCAACAAGGTTTTGTCATCAAAGTAACAGGTATAAATGTTTTTATAAATCTCACCAGGTACATATAGAAAATAAAGAAAGCTTACCAATCTGTCGGAGAAAAAGCTGCAACACAGCTTCACTAAGAGTACCATTAGCTGCAATTAACAAAAATACAATGTAAAAAAATTAAAACAATGAAAACTTTTTAAATGAATATGAAACTACATTCTAACATTCCTTATTTAATGAAAAAAATCTTAAATGCACAAATTAAAATTATGTACAGTTTTTGTTCCCTCTATTACAGTTAAAAAGAACTACTATATTTTAATATTCCATAACACAAGATAATGCACCACCAAATCACAAGAAGTCCATAACCTATGCAACACATCTATTCCAGGTGAGTGTGATAGAGAAAAAATAAACAGTGAAAACAAAACAAGCAACAATTAACCAAAAGGCACCTACAACTTTATAATTTCCCTCCAGAAAAATATGATTCATCAACTCAAATGTAGTATTTCAAAGTTATCCTTTCAACAAGTATAAACAATGTACATTACAGATGAGCTGGTGTAATTGAATTCTCATCTTATTCATTTTAACAACAAAAAATCTTAAAAAATGATTAAGTTCCTATTTAGAATCTTTAATTTCTTTTTTATACAAAATAATAATAAACTGAAAGCATGTAGTAAAATTCTGAACTTTTAAAACTACAAATTTCACAGGCCTGCAAATTTAAACAGACTTTCCATAATTCAGCTATGCAGATTTTGAAAATAATATTCATTTTCTTCTATTACATAAGGTTTATTTTTATAAATCAGGAAGAAAAAGAAAACTCTTACTTAGATCAAATTAC